ATAATTTTAAAAGGGAGAGGGGAATGCCAGCACTTTAAAGCAGTACTTGCAAGGGGATAAAAATAATGTACCTGGATAAATAAAAACAGAAATCGATCAAAATGTGTTTTGAATCTGTAGGTAGCAAGTTCATATAGTTGTTTCTGATCGTCATGTCCTTTATGATAGGAGTCTGACTTCAGTCTCATGCTTTGCTTGCTTGTTTTACTTCTGCTCAGTTCATAAAATGGGGCTTTTCTTTTTTCAGCTTCAGATAGTTTCTCAATTCTGGATGCCCGAGTTCTCAAACTAAATGGAATAAAATGAAATGCAAAAACTCTTCTCTTTGCAATCACAAGACAACTGTTTAAAGCTGTTTGTTTTCAACAAACTTGAATTGTGGGGGTTTAGCTGACGTGTTCTGCCAGTTTGGTAATATAGCTTTCTTAAAGACAATGTGTGTGAGTTTAGCAAGCAGGAAGTTCAGCAAACTTTCGCTTGCACTGCAAAGATTCTTAGCATTAGCAAAAAAAAAAAAAAAGATATATGTTTGGGATCCATCAGCATTTGGTACCTGTGAGGATTTTTGAACGTTCATGAAAGACCGCTGTAAAGAAAGGGTATTCCTTGATATTTACAGATGTGCTACTGTACAGTGCTTATGTTGTGAGAATGAATACAGTATGAGGAGTATAAGGAGCAGTATAAGGAACCATGGTTGCTAAAATACATAATTAATAAAAAATAATTACGTATGTGCTTAAACATGCAGATTAAAATCAGAGGAATTCTTTATGGGTAGGAATTAGGTACGTTTAAAATCATATCTCCTTTGTAGGCAACACAACTGCTTTCTCTGTGCTTGTCGAGTTACAAGGCTTGGCACTTCTTAAGTGGAAGAGGGTTTTAAAACACATGTGTGTGTATACATATAACTTTTGGAGAAAAAGGGTTAGTTTGACTGATTTATGTTGCCTATAGAGCATGAATGCAGGAATAGGAAAATGAGAGGATTCATTGTAAGCATATGCTTTATCAACAGTGTTTATTAACAAGCTCTTACGATATTGTTGCTTCATATGGCTGTATTATGTTCAAATAGAAAATCAGGCAACTTTCAGACTTAATTCTGCTAGTTTGGAAATTAATAGAGGTAGAATTAATTTATGAATTGATTTAACAGTTATTAATATAGCTGCTTTTATATCAGGTACTTTTCAAGAGTGCAGTGGTGCTTATTTATTCTTTAGGAAATGTCAACTTTCTTTTTTCAGGAAATTAATTCTTATTTATTATATAACATGGAAAACTTTTTTTTTAGTTGCAGACAACTGCGAATGAGGTGAACACAGGAGTGGTAACAGACTTCTTGTGGACTGTGTGACTACTGAGTGGGGAGCACTGGGATGGAGTCTGGCATGGAGGAGATCCCAGTTAAAGTTGCAGTTCGAATCAGACCTTTACTTTCCAAAGAAGTACTTCATAACCACCAAGTGTGCGTGAGATTAGTCCCAAACACACAACAAATTATCATTGGGAAAGACCGTGTCTTCACTTTTGATTTTGTATTTGGCAAAAACTCAACCCAAGAAGAGGTTTATACTGTTTGCATTAAGCCTCTTCTAGTGTCTTTGACTGAGGGATACAATGCTACGGTGTTTGCATATGGACAGACAGGTTCTGGGAAGACTTACACCATCGGAGGTGGCCACATTGGTAGGTTGTAGTAAGTTTGGGTTTTTTTAAACTGGTGAACAATGTATTTGTGCAAGTTAAATATTTAATACATAGCAGATGATGCTGCAGAATTTTTAAGGGCTAATGAAAAAAGGTATAGTAAAAACGCTTCCGAAGTTTAGGTGATACTTAAACTGTTCTAAAACCAAATTGTCCATAAATTAAGCTATGCCAAAAATATCTAAGAAAAAAACAACTTATAAAGTGCTCTTTCTCATTCACCATTTTAACATGCAACTTAAACCAGAATTTCTTCCTGAAATGTAGTGTTTTGGAGATTCTTGCTACATTTATTTTACCTTGAAATGTCTGTGTTAGGCAATTAATTGTTTGCTTGCTCACTCTTTGCTTTTTTTTCCTGAGAGACATTTCTATGACATCATAGTCTTCCATATGGACATGAATAGATTATTCTAAATCTCTTGGGAGGTATTGACATCTTACTTTTATTTAGAATCATAGAATCACAGAATCATTTAGGTTGGAAAAGACCCTTGAGATAATCAAGTCCAACCGTAAACCTAACATTGCCAAGTCCACCACTAGACCGTGTGCCTAAGCACCACATCTACACGTCTTTTAAATACCTCCAGGGATGGTGACTCAACCACTTCCCTGGGCAGCCTGTTCCAATGGTCAACAACCTTTTTGAAGAACTTTTTCCCAATATCCAATCTAAACCTCCCCTGGTGCAACTTAAGGCCGTTTCCTCTTGTCCTATTGCTTGTTACTTGGGAGAAGAGACTGACACCCACCTTGCTACAACCTCTTTTCAGGTAGTTGTAGAGCACGATGAGGTCTCCCCTGAACCTTCTTTTCTCCAGGCTAAACAACCCCAGTTCCCTCAGCCGCTCCTCATAAGACTTGTTCTCCAGACCCATCACCAGCTTCGTTGCCCTTCTCTGGACACGCTCCAGCACCTCAGTGTCCTTCTTGTAGTGAGGGGCCCAAAACTGAACACAGGATTCGAGGTGTGCGGCCTCACCAGTGCCGAATACAGGGGCACGATCACCTCCCTACTCCTGCTGGCCACACTATTTCTGATACAGGCCAGGATGCCGTTGGCCTTCTTGGCCACCTGGGCACACTGCCGGCTCATGTTCAGCCGCTGTCGACCAACGCCCCCAGGTCGTTTTCCTCTGGGCAGCTTTCCAGCCACTCTTCCCCAAGCCTGTAGTGTTGCATGGGGTTGTTGTGGCTGAAGTGCAGGACCCGGCACTTGGCCTTGTTGAACCTCATACAGTTGGCCTCCTCATTCTGCTTACTGTTATAACTTCACTTGTCTTTTCTCTAGTAGTAGTTATTTAATGTTTTTGTAAGTACCATTGCCAGCCAAATTCTTTAGAGAGCGGATGTCACAATCTAAGGCTGTTCATAGCTCAGCAATTTTGGTTTTATACATATATTTACCAAATTTATAGTTCAATGTGAGCAACCTGTTATTTTTTTGGTAAAAAAGATTCTTGGTATCCTCTCATAGACAAACAGTTTGTTTCCATATTCTTGGATAAAGAACACGAATTATGGAAGCATTGTTCTGTGCTGAATATTAAAAAAAAACAAAACAGAGTTTGGCATTAGTGTTCCATATCTACTTTGAAGAAATAGGAGATTACTGTATGTGTTGGTCATAAATCTTGTCTCACCAAGTTACTAATGGTCTTTGCTGTATTTGAGTGGAATTTATAGTTTCTCAAACCTTTGCGATGTCGTTGCCAACCATAATGAGTAGGAATAAATAAGAAATCTATACTCTGAGGAGTATAGATTTAAAGTAGACTCCACTTTTTTCATAACTTTGGTGATTATAACATTATGTAATTTAGAACTTAACTTTGAATCCTATTAATGGATGCAGACAAGTATTCTGAACCCAGAAAAACAAATATTTATAAAAATCCTTGGGAACACTGAGCTCTTCAGGTTCCTTAGTATATAGAGTAGCAGATTTCACAGACTTCTCTCAATCTTCAGTCTTTGTAATTTATGCGGTACAATGACTGCAAGCTTCTGTGACATCTTTGCTTATATTTTAGCATCCGTTGCAGAGGATGAGAAGGGCATAATCCCACGGGCTATTCAGGAATTATTTCAGCATATTTCTGAAAATAGTAACATTGACTTCCATGTGAAAGTATCTTATATAGAGGTTTACAAGGAAGAACTTCGAGATTTGTTGGAGTTGGAGACCTCTGTGAAAGAATTACATATCCGAGAAGATGAAAAGGGAAATACAGGTAGGATTTCAGCTCTAAAATTTGGTGTGTTTGGTTTCAGTTGTGTGCCCAAGTTATTCTTGCCTTCTCTTGAAAGAGCTTATTCATTACTAATACTAGAAAAAAGTTACGTTTTCAGAATATAAACTCAGTTTAGCTGATTTGAAGTTGTTTTGGATTTAGACGCCTGTGAATGATGTAGATGTTCCATCAGAAATGGCAACAAATGATAAAATAGAAGTACAGTTATTGCTTTTGCAAATTGTGTCTAGAAACACAATAGTGTGTGATTATTCACTTGAATAAGTATTTCAAGATTAAACCTTTGCTTCTCCCTTCAAAATTATAATTGTTAAGCCACTTATACTGTAAAAATCTGTCCCCTTTCACTGTGAAATGGGTGGAAGAGAACATTTCATTAGGAGTAGCATCTGATATTTCTTGGAGGCTTTGAAATCAACACTTATCTTATAGTTCTCCTCTCCACTACATGAAAATGCTAGAAGAATCCACTGCAGAGATATTTTATTCTGAAAATCTGTAATCTGTTTTGATTTTTTTTTTTTATTTATTCTTTATGTTCTAATTGTTGTGTTTGCTCTAATATTAATATACTGTTGCATTGAGCTGGCATGATCTGTAGCTGGAAGAAGGCACTAATTTAACACAAATCTTGCAGACAATATAGGACCTTGCTTCGTAAGGACCGCGCAATATATTTTAAACTACTTCCCTTCTTCAGTACAGCTTGAGGCAGCTTCAGTTGATTGTGCTAGGACATTTTCCATCCTTCATTAAAACAAAGGACAAAGAATATGCTTGGTAGGAGTACTTGGTAGAAGGACACTTCCACATTATTAGGTTACTAATAGATACCTGTCCAAAAGGCCCGACTACCTGAGCTATATAGAATAGAAATTCTGTTCTTACCATATGCTAGGAATCATTTCTACTACAAACTTTTTTATTTTTAGTCTTTTTTTCTTTTTTTAAACTGGGAAGATATCCTTTGAGCTGACTTTGCTCATACTTTTTCTAGATAGCACTAGATTCCAAATTGCATATGGCAATGTGTAAATGAGTAAAGCTGTGTTCAAGATAGTGTTTCAAATGCTATGACACAATACACCCATGTATAAATATTTGCAGGTTTCAAATGTGTTGTACCTCATGCTTTTCACATATCGATGTTTTGTTTTCTATAGCTATATGCTATGACCTCATTATAATGCAGGCTTTTATGTTTCTCTAATTTGTGTTGATAGTTTGACTATTCCTAATTGCTGTAAACTTTTGCTGAAGAATTTAGAATTAATTGAATTATTCTTACTTTCTTTGGTTTGGTGTTTGAAGTGATTGTTGGTGCTAAGGAATTCCAAGTAGAATGTGCAAATGAAGTGATAAGCCTGTTGGAAAGTGGCAATGCAGCTCGTCACACAGGCACGACACAAATGAATGAGCACTCTAGTCGATCTCATGCCATTTTTACCATCAGTATTTGTCAGAAACAATCTGCAGAGTCTCAGAAAAATACTGATGCTGCACAGGATTCATCTTGGAAATCAGTCCAGATGATTGCTTCAAAGTTTCATTTTGTGGATTTGGCAGGATCAGAGAGGGTGACAAAGACTGGAAATACTGGTGAACGCTTCAAAGAATCAATTCAGATCAATACTGGTCTGTTGGCCTTGGGAAATGTCATCAGTGCCCTCGGAGACCCAAAAAGGAAAAGTGTACATATTCCATACAGGGATGCTAAAATCACTCGTATTCTGAAAGACTCCCTTGGAGGGAATGCCAAGACTGTCATGATAACGTGTATAAGTCCATCCTCATCAGACTTTGATGAATCTTTAAATTCCCTCAAATATGCCAACAGAGCCAAAAACATTAGAAATAAACCAGTGGTAAATTACAACCCCGATCAAGACCGGATTGATGAAATGGAATTTGAAATCAGATTGCTTCGAGAAGCTTTGCAGAACCAGCAAGTCAGTAATCAGTGTTCATATGACTTAAATCAAGAAAGAACTCGTATCAGTTCACTTGAGGAGCAGCTCACCCGGCTTCAGGTTCAATGTTTCAGTTATAGAAATTGTGTAGATGAAGCTTTCCCATTTCTGGTTGATTTGAATGATGATGTTAGCTTAAAAAGAAGTCAGCGGGATAGATTGCAGAGCTGGATCACTATGGTACAGGAAGTAAGGAAGGAAGCTCTCACCATGCAGGAAACTGACACAGGGATGGGGACCAGCCAAGAGCCACATCACATCACAATTCTTCAGCTAAAGAGGGAACTAAAGAAATGCCAGGTATTTAATTATAAGTTGATTATTTAAATAACTATGTGAAAGAGCAGTCTGCTAAAACTTGAATTCAGTTTCGAAAGATGTAAAACTGTTACACTTACCTGTACTTAATTTGACAATTTAAATTTAATTCACAGTCTTGTATAATTTTGTTTATCTAATCCCTGTGACCTAGCTTTATTTTAATGGATGATTGAATTTATCTGTTAGGTTTTTGGTTTTAGCTATGCTAGTGTGCTAGGTCTGGCTGGGATGGAGTTAATTGTCTTCATAGCAGCTTGTAGGGTACTGTGGTTTAGATCTGTGACCAATGCAATGCTGATAACACACCAAAGTTTTAGGTCTTGCTGAACAGTGTTGGCACAGCATCACGCCTTCTCTGTTTCTGCCTCTGCCCCCCAGTGAATAGGTTGGGGCGGCTGGGGACACACACATGCAACCAGGCAGATAACCCAAACTAACCAAAGAGATATTTCATGCCATATAACATCATGTTCAGCAATTAAAAGGGAGAGGAGGAGGTTTAGGGAGGTTAGCCATATTTTGCCTGGGAACTGGGCTGGGCATCAGTCAGCCTTGGGAGGTGGTGAGTGATTGCCTTTGCATCATTTGTTTTGTTTTATTTTCTTTCTCTCTTCTTCCACTTCACCTTCACTTACTGAACGATTTCTATCTTGACCCTCAAGTTTTCTTGCTTTTATTCTTCCTTTGCTCTTCCCCTGTCGCACTGGGGTTGGGGGCGGGGAAGTGAGCGAGCGGCTGTATGTGCTTAGCTGCCTACTGGGGTTAACCCACAACAGTCCTTTTTGGCGCCCAACGAGTGGCTCAAGGCCTTCAAGATAATAACAGACCTGGTTAGAATGTCCTAGATTAAACTTCTAGCTATTCTACCTGTTTAGGTAAGTTGTTATTTGAGCGGCTGTTGCAGATCATGATGCTGGCATATTTAATTTGGGTGCTGACTTACGTGTTTCCTTGAATATTCTGATGCTTGATTCCGTTCTGGCTGTACAACAGACTCCCAGAATTATTAATGACTGTTTTCATATTTTGCTGTTTAGTGTGTTGTTTTTCACTTTGTTTCCCCTTGCTTGGGAGAGCTATGATAAAACCACTGGCCTTCAGCCTAATCTGTATTTTGGTCCTACATCACTGGTGTCCCAGTACTCCAAGAACCATCTCATGGACAAAACCAGCAACTATACCTTTCCCCTTTTCTCCTCTTGAGAGACATTTTGTGGAGAGAGGAAAGAATGGCACCTATCCCTTCCTCTCCTCCAGGACAGGTTTTTATAGCCTTGATATAATGGCTTCTTAGTTCCTTCAATATCCTCATGTAATCAGACTGTTCATACTGGTGTGTATTGTGATCTTGATTTTAATTATTGTTCCTAAGGTTAAGCAACTAATTTGGGATGCCACACAGGAGCATGCTCTAAGGCGATTGATCCCTGGGGTGGCAGGGTATATGGGAGGAGTTGGGCAGGTGCATAGGGCCATTATGGCCTCCGATAGCTTGGGATTTCATGTCTGCACAGGCTTGTAAACCCGTCAAAGTAATACACCATTTGAAGGAGGGGAGGTGAAACACAGTGTCTTCTAAAAAACTGTCTTGGGACCTGGCCCATGCCTATCAAGCCACTATCCAGAGATGCAAGAGGATCTCCCAATCTAAGAGCCCACAAACGGGGACTGAGAAGGTCTCTTGCTCTGAGGCCACACAAATGGACACTAAACCAGAGACGAACCCTCAACTGTAATAGTTGCTTCTGTAGTCAAGAAGAAACAATGGAAGCAGAGGTCAGTTAGTAAGAGAAGCAGCAGCTCCTCCTGAGAGGGAGAGAGAGGAAGAATCAGAAGATGCAGCCTATTCTGCAGCAGGATGGAGAGGGAAGAGATGGAAATCATGAGAGGCAGAAACTACCGAGTCCCTATCCTTGACCAAGCTGCAAAATAGGCAGAAAGATTTAGTCCATCAGCAAGATAAGCGAATTGCTACCTGGTTGCTCCAGTGCTGGGATAGTGGGGCTAACAATCTGGAACTAGAAGGTAAGGAAGCACAGCAGCTGGGATCCATTGCTAGGGACTATGGGATTGACAGAGGGATCAGAAGAGGGGCAGCCACCCACAGCCTCCAGAGGTGGCTCTTAATGAGCATGAAGACAAGGTATCCTCTTAAGGAAGATACTGTAACCCAATAAAGCAAGTGGACTATCACAAAGGAAGGTATCCAGTGTCTGAGGGAATTAGCGGTGGTGGAGGTGGTCTACAGTAACATGGACAATAATCAGGGCCCCAAAGATCCGAATGACATACAATGCACACGGTCTGTGTGGCAGAAGTCTGTACAGAGCGCACCGACATCATGCGCCAGCAACCTAGCAATGATGGATTGGGCTGACAAGGCACCAACTTTGTATAGACTGGTCTGCCAACTCCAGCAATTCAAAGAGAATCTCTATTCCCCCTCCCTGCTATGGGCCTGCATTTCAGCTCCACAAGGTCTGGCAATTCAAAGAGAATGTGGATAATCTCTCTCCCTCCTTGCCCCTGCAGGCCAGCATCTCAGCTACCACGTGTCGGCCTTTCTCTGCTCAAAGGAAAGGGAACCATGGGCACATGCCATGTGCCACCCTGTGGTTCTGTCTGCATGACTTTGGGGAGCGTATGAGGAAGTGAGATGGTGCACCTACCTTGGTCCTGGAAGTCTGTGTACATGAAAAAGCAGTGGTAAAAAAGGGTCCTTTCAGGAAGATTACTGCTCCGGTTGCTGTTGAGCAATTCCTGAGATGCTGGAGATGGGCTGAGGACCCCTCTCCTCTTTCTGATACTGTTCCAATGGACTTATGTCCATGTGGGTTTGAACACCACGCCTTCTAACATGGAAGGACTGTGCTGGTCTGTAGTAGGATCACACCTGTGAATAGTCCTTATAGCATAGCCTGGGCAAGAGAGAGATACATGGGCTCCTTTCATGGTGTAAAGACTTCTGGTTTGCAATTACAGGAGTCACATAATGAATGCTCTGGGAATAGGGGACCCTTTCTCCAGCCAAGCGGAGGAAAGGGACAATTGGATTTATTTTGGTTGTGGTGGACACCGGTGCACAGTGTATCCTAATGCCATCAGGATACAAGGAGGCAGAACACATCTGGATTTCCGGAGTGATGAGGGGATCCCAGTTGTGGTCTGTGCTAGAAGCTGAGGTGAGCATAACAGGAAACAAATGGCAGAAGCATCGTATTGTCACCAGTCCAGAGGTCCCATATGTCCTTGCCATTGATTCTCTCAAAAGAGCGTACTTCAGGGATCCAAAGCGATACCATTGGGCCTTTGATGCAGCTGCTGCAGGTTCAGAGAAGATTAAACAGCTGTCTACCTTACCTGGCTTCTTGGACGATCCTTCTGTTGTGGGGTTGCTGTGGGTTGAAGAGCAGCCAATTACTACCATGATGGTGCACTAGCATCAATATCGTCCCAACTGAGACTCCCTCGTTCCCATCCAGGAGCTGATTCATCGACTCAAGAGCCAACGAGTGATCAGCAAGACTCACTTGCCCTTTAGTAGTCCCATATGGCCAGTGCAGAAATCTGATAGAGGGTGGAGGTTTACAGTGGACTATCATGGCCTGAATGAAGTCACACCACCATTAAGTGGTGCCGTACCAGGCATGCTAGAACTCTAGTATGACTGGAGTCAAAGGCAGTCAAGCGATATGCCATAACTGATATTGCCAATGCATTTTTCTCAATCCCTTTTTCAGCAGGGTGCAGGCCACATTTAGCTTTGATGTGGAAGGGTGTCCCATCTGGAATCGACTGCCATGGAGGGGTGGAAGCACAGCCCTACCATTTGGCATGGACTGTTCCAGACTGCTCTGGAACAGGGCAAAGCCCCAGAAAGCTTGCAGTCCATTGACAACATCACTGTGTGGGGCCACACAGCTGAGGAAGTGTTTGAGAAAGGGAAAAGAAAATCCAGTTTCTTCTGAAAGCTGGTTTTGCCATAAAACAAAACAAGGTCAAAGGACCTTTACGAGAAATCTAGTTTTTGGGAATAAAATGGCAAGATGGGCGTCATCACATCCTAGCGGATGTGATCAATAAGATAATAACCATGTTCCCAGTAGTAACAAAAAGGAAACCCAGGCATTCCTAGGCATTGTGGGATTCTGGAGAGTGCAGGTTACAGTCAACTTGTAAGTCCTCTCTACTGAGTGACCTGAAAGAAGAACTATTTCAGCTGGGTCCCCAGGCAGCAACAAGCATTTGAACAGATCAGTCAGGAAATTGTTCCTGCGGTAGCCCTTGGGCCAGTCCAGATAGGACCAAAAGTGAGAAACGTGCTTTACGCTGCCGCCAGGGAGCATGGCCTCAGCTGGAGCCTCTGGCAGAAAGCACCTGGAGAGATCCAAAGTCAACCTCTAGGGTTTTGGAGCTGTGGGTGTAGAGGATCTGAGGCCCACTACACCCCAACTGAAAAGGAGATACTAGCAGCATTTGAAGGGGTTCAAGATGCTTCAGAAGTAGTTCATACTGAAGCTCAGCTTCCCTTGGCACCGCGATTGTCTGTACTGCATTGGATGTTCAAAGGAAACATTCCCTCTACCATCATGCAACTAATGCTATGTGGAATAAGTGGGTAGCGCTGATCACACCATGGGCCTGAATGGGGAACCCCAACTGCTCTGGAATCCTGGAAGAGATCATGGACTGGCCAGAAAGCTGACATTTTGGAGCATTGCCTGAGGAAGTGACTCATGTTGAAGAGTAAGTATACTGTAGAACTGTATTATAGGAGTATAACTGTATTGTAACTCTATAATAAGTTACCAGAAAATGAGAAACAATGTGGTCCGTGGGATCCTGCCAGGATGGGTCCTGTCATATTGTGGGAAACCACTGGAAGTGGAAAACTGCTGTTTGGAGTCCGACATGACAAGTTGCAGAAACTGCTGAAGGGAAAGGTGAATCGAGGCAATGTGCAGAAGTGAAAGCCATCCAGCTGGCTCTAGATATTGTGAACAAGAAAAGTGGACAGTACGGGCCGGGGGTGGGGCACAACCAGGCAGATGACCCAAAACAACCAAAGAGGTATTTCATGTCATACGACATACTCAGCAATAAAAAGGGAGAGGAGGAGGGCTTAGGTACATTATGCGTAGTGGGTTAGCCATAGCTAACAGCCAAACTCCCACCTAGCCATTCATTCACCCCTCCATCAATAGGACTCAGGGAGAGAAAATAGGAAAAACAGGAATGAGAAATCTTGTGGGTTGAGATAAAGACAGAGAGATTGCTTACCAATTAAAAACCAGTCTTGAGTTGGGGAAAAATGATTTCATTTATTGCCAATTAAAAAAAAAATTAATTACTTATTTGGCTAGCGGGGAACAAAAAGACAAACACTAAACCAACACCGTTCCTCCCCCACTTTTCCAGGCTTATCTTCACTCCTTCATTCCATACTCCTGTCCCTCACTGCTGAGTGGTGCAGGGACATAGAGGAGTGGTTTATGGTCAGTACATAGCGGTTTCTCTCTGCTGCTCTTTCCTCCTCGCACCTTTCCTCTGATTCGGCATGGGCTCTGCATGGGCAACAGTTCTTTCAGGAATATCTATCTGCTCCAGCACAGGTCCTCCCTAGGCTGCAGCGTGGGTATCTGCTCCACCATGGAGCACCTCCTCCTTCCCCTCCTCCTGGTCTTCCCTCTGCTCTTTCTCACTCTTTTGGTTCCCTCCTCTTCTGCCTGTCTGGCATTTTGTGCCTTTTCTTAAATATACTATGACAGGCGCCGCCATCTTGGCTGAGGGGCTCAGCTGTTCCCTGCGTTGGGTCCACTGGAGTTGCCTGGAGCTGGCTGTGTCCAGCATGGGGCAACCCTGGTCTCTTCTCACACACGCCACCCCTGCAGTCACCCCCACCAAACCCTTGACACCTACACCCCATACAACTGAGCAAATATATTCTGATTTTAGTTCTGTATGTTTAATACAATATGGACAATATGCCACCTAGTTTTCTGTCACTTCATCCTGCCCCAGCCTGTCACCATGCTAACATCTGTGCAAGCTTCCTTCTTTTTTTCTGTAGTTGGCTCAACTCTGCATAATGATACAGCACCAGTGGGGGAGAGGATACACTTGTCAACTACGTTTAGTAGAAACGTTTGCATTCGTATATAGACTTTGGAAAAAGTTCTGTTCTCTAAAGAGACATCAGGTTCTTGAGTGCATTCTTAAAAGCTATTAAGAGTTGCCTTTTGTTGGAAGAAAGATGTAGGTAGGCTAACTGTACAGAAGTATCCAGTTTTAGAACAGTAAGACATGATGTTTCCATACTTCATATTTGGTTTCTACAGGCTTTCTGGAAGAGTAACAACATTTGGAAGTCTCCTTCAATCAATATTGGATTATTTATTCACAAGAACTTTTGAAGAAGGATTCTTATGGTTTCTTTAATCTTTAGGCTGTTATCTGAGTTGCAGAATGAGGATAGCTGTCCTTATTTTTTCATTTGAGAAGTGTATCAATCTTATGGTTGGGGCTGAGATCTTGTGGCTACATCTCACAGCACCCTAAAGAGAATAACTGGATTTAGATATCTACTTCAATAATGTAGCTTTGGTTATGGGTACATTATTTCCTTTGGAAGAAAGAAACTTGTCAGAAGAAAATCAATAGATGAAACAGAAGTGAAGAAATAACTGGTAGAAACCACAGATAACCACTTAGACGATTTGCCGTACATACCTCAAAACTTTGCAGTTATGATCAAATCTTTTAAGAACAAATGAGGTTGTTTGGGTTTTTTTTTCATTTTCCAACTGTAAGAATAATAATGTTCCCTTTTCCCCAGCTGAACTTTTCTTTTATTATCTAGCAGGCTCTAGTTATGGATGAAGAAGTATTTAGCCAGAAGGATCATGAACTGCAGATACTGCAGAATCAGATAAAGACATTGCTACAGGAAAATGAAGAACAACTGGAATCTTTAAAGGAGGCTCAAGAAACACTTAGATTACAGGTATTTTTCCTCTGGTACACATTACATATATACATTGAACCATCCTTCCATTGTATGAATGCACTTATTATTTCAAGCCAGGTCCCTCAGGATTTTTTTGGACATAACTACCTGTCAACCTTACGGGCATTTTGTTTGCATTAGAGCTGTATCACTTAATGAGTTGAGTTAGTGTGATTCCTGAAGTTTGTGTATGAACCTATCTGTGCCACAGCCTTCCTGTGTAACATGAGGTGTATCATTCACCCTCTCCATGTTTCCTAAAGTGTAACACACACCTCTCTCCCCTATTATTGCTAAGGAGTTTCAGGACGATTAATGAATTAGGATTTGAAAGGCCTTTAAAGATCCTTTAGAATCTGAAAAAGATTATGAAGATCCTATAGAATACTTCAACTGAAAGGTTATATAGAAACATTTTTTGTTGTAGCTTTATTAAGAATTAGAGTATTGTTCCCTTTTGACTTTTTAAGAGAGAATTTCATCATAATATTCTGAGCATTCACTATTAGAGAAAATTGAGTGACATAGTGGAAACACTGCTTACCTCCTTCCTTCCCTAGATCTTGTGCTTGCTAATGAAATTATGATGGGTAGTAGGTATACAACATTTCAAGATCTAGGAGGCCATAAATAGAATAGTTAATATTCTCCTGGTGTTGCCTGTCACGTGGATGATAAATAAATTATTATCCGGCATTTTAAAAGAGAAAAGCATAAGCATGGCTAGCTAGTACTCTTCTCCTTATTCTACTTTTTCTCCTTTTTCCTCTTCTTTGCTGATGGCTTGGGGAGAGGCAAAGAATGAAAGGTAAGTATACTAGTCATCATCTTTTTCTTCCCTCTGTCACTTTCTTTCTTTTCTGTCACCTCTGGCTAGGTTGATATTTTTTTTTTTTTAAACCTGTACAGCATAGTGTCAACTTATTACACAGTGATAATGCTTATATAAATTCTGGGGGATACAAGGTAGAGGTAATGAACAGAAGCAGTAGGTAAAAGATCATGATTGCTTCAGTATCAGAGACAGGAAGGAAGTTTGATAGCTCTCAGGCACCATTTTGGTACTTAATCCACTAAACTGGATGACACAGGAATATTATGTATTGTATTCCAACAAAATGTCAATTTGCAAGGCATTGTCTATGTGTGTTCGGAAGGAACCTGCAGTCTAAGAAAACAAGATACAAAGAATGAATAAAAAATGTATTATTCAAAGTGGGAGAATGCAAAATATCTTTCATTGAATACTTTCGGTTGACTATCACTAGTTATTCTTCAACCTTCCTGTTCTTACTAGGCCAGATTTTAAAGGTACTTTGGAAAGAATTGAAAGGAATAGAGGGAGTTGAAAATGGATATAATTTTGGCCTTATGGATGAATCAGTTTAGGTAAGATAAGTGGTTTTGAACAATGTACAGAGACCGCTGTAGGAGAAACAGATAAGTAAGTTCTCCAAAGTAGCATTACCAGCAGAGCTGAGGCTGGGTAGAAGAAAAAGAAGTAGCCTGTACAAGTGATCCTGGGATCATGTACATGTTTATGTTTATTAATACAAATAATCTTTAAAGTGGAACTGCTCAAAGAGGAAGAAGCAGCCTGTATACATGTTTAATTAGACTCAGACCATGTGTTTAATTTGAACATTTTTGTTGAATTCCCATTTTATTTCTCCATAAACACACATATAAAGCAAGCACGGCCTAAGTATGTCACCTACTTCTCACTAGATGTCTAGATAAGCTAATGTAAGTTACCTTACAGATAGGTCTTTCTGGACAAAATGTGTCTAAAATTTATTGGAGTTGGGGTGTGTGTGTTAGATTAATGATATGTCATAGAATTTTCAGCTTGTTGCAGAATTTGCCTGTGCATTGCAGAAGAATTCAGGGTTAGTGAGTGATTTACAAGATTCATGACCTTTGTAAGGAATTTAGAAATGGTGAATATCATACAGAGCTTATAATCAGCAACAGTTTTGCCTTGTTTTTTTTCCCCATGAGAATGAGAAAATGGTGGAACAGCAAATGCTTATTGATCAGCTAAAAGAAAAACTAGAGAAGTTTACAGATGTGAAAACTTTGGACTTCTCAAGTGCTTGTGGAGATGGGCCAGCTGTTGTGGCATCTGCAAGGAGGCCATACAGTGTCCCTCTCACAAAGAGTCTGCTACACTCCCTTTACCCACCTTCAGGGACAGAGACCCGAAAGGTAAGGTCTACCCAAATGTTACATTTTTTTTCCTTTACTTTGTAATGGTTATAGTTCAATAATTAGACTTGACATGACAAATTATGGTGGTTTTCTCAGATGCTGTTTAGCTTCCTGTTGAAGACTCTGAAAAATTACTCTTTAATGTCTTGAAACATACGCTATGCCACAATTGTCCAAAATGTTCAGGCTTAAAATTATCACTTTCAAGTGCTAAAGCTGTAGTCTTTTCTGGTGTTTTCCTGGGATTTTTGAGGGTTCAAATATGAAGCATTATCAAAAATGAATGATTTTTCTTACCGATATATTGAATACGTTGGATAATGAGTTGCTAACAGTGCCTTCTTTCACATTTGGAACAAGTGCTCTAAGCTCTCGCAAAACCTTTTGTTACAAAGGTATTCAGAGTTATTATAGAAAACCTCTGTAATTTTGCTTACAAGCTCAGGTGGTGACAGACTTTTACATTTAAATATTTTTTAAATATCAGTAAAGAATTGCTAAATTGCTGCAAGTGTTTTTAAAAGTAACTTTTTTTGTGTGTTTTTTGACAGGTGTATACCAGCCCCCCTGCCTTCTCCCTGGCCCGTGTAATGGCAGAATTCCGTGCTCGCAGCCAAATGATACTGAGCAACATAGAAGATCAGGATACAGTCCTTCACTGCCACCTCTTTGATCAGAGCGATGAAGAGGAAGAAAATACAGGCAGCAAAAAGAAAACCTCATTTAAGTAATTTTTTTGTTATTCTTTAATTTTTGTTACAGACAAATGTGTAGCAAAGGTACTATTACTGCCTAATCCTGCCGTACTATGAGACCATTTGTGATGTTATTTATGGTAAACTTATGGGACCAACTGGGCATATTACAAAATAAGTTTAATAAACACAGGTTTTTAATTTAATAAAGCTTGTATAATCCTTGTTTTGGGGCCAGAATATACCATGAAGATCCGGGGGGTTGGGAGTAAATGGGAAGGAAGGTACAAGTGCTTATGTGAGTTTGGGATTCTTCTCTGTTAAGATGCAGTACATGTACTCTGCATGAAGCTTAAAGAAAAAAAATCCGTGTGTGTTTGGAATGTAGCATGGTTTTGATTCTTCCTTAGGCATTCCATAAACCGAACATGGACACAAAAACAGGCTTCTCTGTGCTTTCTTCCTGATATAAGTGACATGAAGTGTCATGGAGACAAGTCTGGTTTATCCAACAAATCTCGGCTACAGATTGACACAACCACAGGTAAAATGGAAGTCATGAGAGCAAATCTTATTACAGTATCAGAATATGCAAGAATATCTTTAGCACATGTGATTATTTTTCCCAGCAAAATATGTGTATTTGATACAAATATGTTGTTTGTTATAGTTCAACATAGGCTTTAGAGAGTCTCTTCTTCCCCTTTCTGAAGCTGATGTCAGTGACCGTAATGTTTCAGTAATTCTTACTAGCCAGAAAGCACTTCACACATCAAAAAGCTGCTTAGATATAAATCTTTAGTATTGCTTCAGTAAAAGAAAATAGATGCTATTATCTTTTCAGAGATGCACTAAAATGGTTTCAGGAATATTTTTGCTCCCATTTAGGGTCTTGAAGTGCTAGTGCATGCCATCCTTTCTTTTCCTGTTTAGACACATGGCAGGGAAAAGACTTTCTGCACTACTCTCTCCTTTTGATTCTTCTACTTCATATGGAAAAACTCCACGTGTACAATGTTCCAGAGCACTATCTTTTGGGAACATGGTGTATTCCAGACTTTTTATCTCCATATTGCTTTGTTTTCTTTCAAGGTGAAGAGATTGACAGCCTCCAGAAAAGTCATGTTTTTAACATGCAGAAGTTAAAGAATTCAGAGTTGAGACTCACTGAGGCCGAGCAAAAAATGAGAGAACTTGCGCTTAATATCAAAATGAAAGAGGAACTTATTAAGGAATTAGTAAGAATGGAAAATTAGAATGAAGAAGTTCAGAAACAAAAGAAAAGGCACAAACCTTCTGAAGTCCTGCATATCTTAGTTTTTATGTAATTGTCGTATACAAGAATACTTTTAATAACTTAAAGATTCATGACATTCATTAATTACTTGCTGTGATTGTACTGAAGGCTGTAAATTTTGATTACAGCCTATTCTGCTATGATATGCAGCTGTATTTGTTAAATATTTTTTGTGCTTTGCTAATTATTGGTTTTATCCACCAATAGTGTAATTTTTCATGTATGCTCAGTGCTACTGATCTCTTCGTGGACATGTATTTTTCACATGGTATCTGGGATAGGAGAGAAGATACATCACTGTGCTGGGAATGTAAGCATTCCCAGCACTGCAGTAGAGAAGCAGGAGTCAGAAGTGGATGAGGGAAAAGGTCAGTGTCCCTGTTAGCCTACATCCCTTACACATCTGTCCTGGTACATATATGCCTGCCAGAAACTAGCCTTATGATGACAGTTAGGATCTCTTTGCTCAACCCCTTCAACCACACTCTTCTCCTGTGCATACCTTCTCTTGAGGTTGTCTTTTGGCACTGAGAAAGATTCTGTGCCCGCAAAAACAGTACTTTGGGAGAGATTGCCCAAACAGGGCAAGTCAGAGAGTAGAAACACAATCCAAAGTTGTTTACTGATTATTAAGCTGAAAGTTGAGTAATAAATAAATGGTACATTCTTCTGGAAAAAGCAAAATTTATGAAACACAGGAGAGCCATTTCGGCAAAAACTACAGTAGGCAGAAGAATTTCACTTTATTTGGCACTCAGATGGCACTTTATGTGGTGACATTAGGTGGCTTATGAAGAATTCAGATTTAAGACTCCTTCCTTTTATCTCTGTTTCAGAGTTAGAAAGGAACTGTATGTTCCTTTAGGGTTGGAAAATGTCTCAGAAACTATTGGTTTAGCCAGAAGGAAGTAAGTAATGATTCAACTACAGAACTAAGTATTACATTTCAACTGATTATCCTGCTGTTTTTAAACTATTTGGATATTGTGTCTTTAAGGTAAAGATGCTCAGTCTGTAAGCAGGCAATATTCTTTGAAGATAACTAAACTGGAGCAAGAATCTGAGCAGGCCAAAATGGAACTGGCTGAAACACAAAAGCGGCTTCAGGAGCTGGAGAGTAAGGAGCTGAGAGACATTCCTGAGAAAGCCAAGTTACAAAAAGAGTTCCGGAAGAAGATGGATGCAGCTAAGTTGAAAGTGCAGGTATTTCTGATCTGACCATTAAGATTTGCAAATCTCTGTTTCACTATTACCTTTGAATCTTAACACTCTGCTTGTAAAACTCTCACCAGTTTTACACATTTGAAGCTGGCTGGATTGAAGTAGCTAATGAGAAACTTAATACTATTATATTCAGAATGCTATTTAACATATATGTGGTTAGATACATACAGTGTCTACACACAGATAAGAAACCAAGAAAGAAGCAGGTGATATGAGATGCTCATACACCATTGTATGTAGTACCGTAAAAGAACCTACACAAGGAGATTATTACAAGTTTATTACCTGCCATAAATAAAATCGATGTTTTATGAAAATGTTATATAAATTCCAGCTCTAAGCAAATCACCGTGATAGTTTGCAAGACCGGGCCCAATACAGTCATATTTGTTTGGCACTGACCTTCTACTTTTACGTTCTGCTATACCTAAGTTTAAATTCTGTGTAGGGCCAGCTTAGGTGCTCTGTGCCTCTCAGTCCTAGAATGGTGGGTCAGACAAGCACCGTACAGAAGGAGGTAGCTGGCTTATTGAGTTGAGCTCAGAACCAGCATTCTGGCACTATTATGTCTCTGCACATTTTCCAGAGTTGTGATTTGTCAGATTTTTCTACTTTAATTGTATTGCCAGGCATGAATTGTATCTTTACTTTTTCACGTTGCTTGAGATTAATTCTGCCTGTGCCAACTTTACCAGATAGCTCAAAAGCCAAAGAAATAACAAGTGATTGTTTGGGCAGAAGTTAGTAAGTCTTGCTGACTCTAAGAATTCAGTGAAATAAAGAATGAAGCTGCGTCATATTTTAGTTTTAAGTTTTCCTGCTATTAAGCTGAAATTTGCCATGAATATTCAGGCCTTACAGAAGAAGCAGCAAGACACTAAGAATCTGGCTTCATTATCTAACCAAAGTGAGAGACAAGCAACAGAACTTGAGCAGAATGTGGCTCAGATGAAGCATCAGCAGACCCAGCTGCAGAAGAGACTGTGTGAGGAGAGCGAAAAAAAGAAGCAACTAGAAGCAGAGATTCAGCGGGACCAGCAACAAATTAAAGTAGGATTCTTCCTATTTCTTTATGACAAAGAATGAGATGAGCCAATTTTGCCCCTGCTTCCCCAAAACCAATAAACTATACTGCCAGGCTTTCCATAGTTTTAAATAATGACTTTCTTGACAAATGCATTGAAAAAATAGTCTATAAACATTTTCACAGATATCTTCAGTGTACCTTTCTCTTCAGCTTTTTTTTTGTTTGTTTTATTACGTGATGTCTAGCCCCAAATTGCAATTTTGCATGTAAATTTAGGGTCAGTATTTCAGATTATATACTTGTGTGGACTCTGATATTAAATGCATTTTAAAAACAGACTGACTGAGGCAGGAAGAATGGGGTTTTTTGTTTCTTTATAGGAACTTCAACTGAAGATGGAGCAACAAGAGAAGATCCTTAAACTTAAGGATAAAGAGATTGCTGCATTTAAAAAGAAGAAAAATAACTCAGTGGGAACTTCCCAGAAGCTACAGGTAGCTCATTCCGAATCTGTGTAGGACCTGAAAATAAAATTTCTTTCTTCATCCGTAGTGATCTTTGTAAAGTGTTTGGAAGAGTATTCCATTATAGTTTTGTCTTCTTTTTTGCTGTAGCAAATATTGGGAGTGTAGTCTAGCAGCTCTTGTACTCTTTTTGAATGAAGGAAAGGAGAGGCTCTAATGTCTTTTCTTTCTATGATTTGCCAAAGATGCTGATTCAGAGACCTGAGAATTCAGCAGGTTTGGTTGTCCGGTAGGATTGAGGATGATCCTGATGAGCTCTGTTATAAACGTTCCACTGTTTGTTTGTTTTTTTTGTTTTCCCCTCTGATATAAATGACAGAGGTCTATGGTTTTGATTGTTCCTAGCAGGGTTAGAAAAATAGGTGTCCTATGCGGCAGTGCCACCTGCATTATTTCAGATGTGGACGTTGGAACATGAGAGTTTCGTGAGTTATCAAAGTCTTTAAAGGTGAAAAGAAATTTTTAAAGTTAAGTAAAGTCAACTTTTTAGCCTTACCAGAAATATATCCACTCATAAACTGTGGCTTCAGAATAAATTTATAATGGACTGTGCTAGGAGGATCAGAGCTCTCATTTACTGTCTTTCTTTCTGTCAACATCATAATTTCTTGTCACTTAATGTTTTTCCACAAATAGCTGGTCTTGGGCAACTATGATGCAATGAGGATGGGCTAGCTGAATTCTGAAGAATTGGTTGGTTGGTACCTTCCAAACATAGTTGCTGTGATTATATAGAAGACATCCATTTATATAACTCTTCTTAGAAAAATAATACATTTCATTACAGGCATCTGATACAAATTTGTTTATACAAGATGTAGCAATGTAACATTGCTGAGCCTCTTTTTAAGTCAGTTCAATTTCTGTATTATTCCTAGTCAAGATTCTGTTGCAGAATTAATGTTAGCATTAGAAATGTCAATTTCTTCTACAGTTTTATCAGTTATTCTAAAAAAGGAAAAATATCACCATAAAATTCTGATCCAAAAAGTCCTGGTTAATGCTCTCTGGATCTCTATTTAAACTTCAGAAATTAGAAGAGCAAAAGAAATGGCTGGATGAAGAAATGGAAAGAATTCTCCAACAGCACCAACAGTTAGCAGAACTAGAAGAAGATTTAAAGAAAAGAGAAGCCATTATAGCCAAAAAAGAAGCACTATTGCAAGAGAAAAGCCACCTGGAAATCAAGAAACTGAGATCTAGTCAGGTGATTTAAGGAAAAACACAAAACTCACCACAATTACAGTGCTGACTGAAAGACTGGGGTGGGGGAAGGCAGATAGGTAGCACGTGACCTGTGTCTCTACTACTGCCGTGAAGTTTTGTGTGGCTTGAGCAAATCAACATTTAAATTGTGAATAACACAGAATAATAATTTTTATTCACTTTTTCTCCCCAAAATTCCAACAACAAAACCAAACAAAAAAATCTGGACTGTGGAGTTCTATTATTGCAGAGCATTAAATAATATGATATCTAAAAATGACTCAGTCCTTTTGCAAACTAGAGAACATGACAGCGAAACATTTTGCATTATTTATTTTTCAGTAGCAAAAGTGAATAGAAATTGAAGTATCATTGTCATTTACAATGACTAGTCCCTTTAATTTTTAGTATGTAGAAAACTGCACATTGAGTGTTTTTATTTTCTTTCATCTTTTGGGTAAATAGTAAATTTTATGGTAGCTGCCCACTCAAAATAAATGGGGTCCCATTGCAAGAAGCAGGCAAGTCTTTCACTGCAGAATGTGACAGTCTCACCTACATTTTTCTTAGTGGGAGGAGTATCTCAGTTTTATATCTGTGGTTACTGTGGTTTTTTTAGGCTTTAAACAAAGACAGTATGAAACTTTCTACTCGCTTAAGTATGCTGGATCAGGAACTGTGTGATAAAGGTATGCAGCTTCAGGGCAGCACCACTGAAGATAAGACAGACATTTTGGAAAAAATTCAGGTTCTCCAGACGGAAAAGGATCAACTGCTCAGAAGAAGAAATAGCGTGGATGAGAAACTGAAAGATGGTAAAGTGTTGTCAATGGAAGTAAGTAGGCACCTCTGAGATAAATATAGGTTATAGATAGTGTTGTATAATAAAGCATTCCGATCAGAACCTGATTCATTTATTAATCCAACAGAAAACTAGCACAACCGAAAAAATAATAGTAGAAGTCAAACTGTGGGGAGGATGAGGGAAGGATAAAAAGGGAAACATGACTTGTATTTTTGTGATGGACCATTTGATTGACCTCTGTTTCATGGAAGGGGTACTGTGGCAGAAAAAGACAAATGTTCTAGATTTGTACTCTACCTTTTATTTTTCCCGTTCTGTTCTCTGTACTATTACTAGTTTGTCTTGCCCTTAAGTTTAGTTTTACTCCTGAGAATGAGGTTAAAGAATGTCTTATGTATAGAAAGATTAATTCTACACTTTTTTTTAAAGATCTCACTCATGTTTTTTCTCTGTAGGAAGAACATGTCCTTTTCCAGCTGGAAGAAGGAATTGAAGCCCTGGAGGCTGCTATTGATTACAAGAATGAAAGTATTCAGAATCGCCAGCACTTGCTTAGGTCATCTTCTCAGATTCTTTCACAGAGCGAGAATAATGTAATAGGAAAACTAGTTTCCCTGTCTGCTGCAGAGCTCAGAGCTATCCTCTTCAAATATTTCAACAAGGTTTGTTTTGGTTAATGAATAATATTTTATCCTATTTTCCGTTACATTATTCTAGACAATGAAATGAAATGGTGTCCAGAAATAAAAATAAATTTAACAAGCTTTTGGTGAAAATCTCTTCAGGTTACATACATCTGTTATTAATTTAGACATTTTTAATTTTTACATTAGCCTAAATAGGATACTTGCATGTTAACTTCGTATATCTTATTTTGGGGTCATTAGCTTAAAAGGTGCTGCAAATCTGGAAATTTTCTTGCTCCTTTCCAGTGCTTTGCGTGGCTAACTTTTGGAGCAGCAACATATTTAAATAGTGGTGTTGTATTGAACTTCTTCCCAACTGCAGGCTTCATAAAGCTCAGGCTAGTATTTCTTTTTTTTTTCTAGATCCAGTGTACACTGGATTTTTGCATACACTGCCTGCAGTGTGTACAGCCAAATACTGAAGAATCATACTGACAACTGGAAACATAAAAATTAAATGCATTAGGACATAGTGTGTCTTTGTGACCTTGGGTGATTTGGTAAAGAAGTTGTCTATGGGATGCAGGTTGGAAGTTTTCCAGAATCAGGAAAACACTGTTGTTTCAGCTTAAATTGTGCACAGGGTTATTAAAAAAATCCACTAGTCCATGTGATCAAAATATACAGAGCTCATTTCTGAAGTGTGAACTTGTCGCAGCGGGCAAGTCTGTTTGCAAGATAGGCTTATGGCCTATAGAGACCATTGCTTTTGTATGCTTTAATCTGCTAAGCAGAAGGGTAAAAGCTTTTATGAAAATGGTTTGATAAACCAAAAAAGTTTATTTCTTTCTTAGATTGTTGGCCTACGTGAGTCTGGACGTAAATTGGAACTGCAGATTGAAGAACAGGAGATGAAGGTCATAGACCAGAAAAACATAATACGTGAATTAGAATCTGCACTTGAACACGTCAAGTTGCAGTGTGACAGACAGCTGACCCTACAACACAAAGAACATGAGAAAAAAATACAGTTAATACTGCATCATTTCAAAGGTATTTGCTTCTTGGGAAGGATTGTACAGCAAGTATTATCTTCAGTCACTACTGAGAAATACTATATTCCAACTGAAAAAAGAAGAGTAAGGTTCAGAGATATATTTCGGTTGTCACTAATTCTGATGTTGTTTAGGATGCTGAGGAACAGACACATGGTGTCTGTATGAACGGAAAATTGAATATTTTTTTAAAGCAGTATCAGAATTGTTGTATTTTGATACAGAATTTGCTGATATTGGAAAGCTGAAAGATACTGGTCCTGCTGATCTTGATCTTCTAAATACTTCTATTAAAACTGACAAGTGGGTTTGGCATGGCTTTTTTGATCCTGTGTCATACTAGTTAAAATGTACACACTGCAAGCAAAGCGTCAGCAAGATAAAAGACATATTCTGTCTAGTTGGGCATCTTGATTTTTGTCACAGAGATATCTGGTTCTTAAACTAGTTTTACTTTTCCTAGAACAAGATGGTGAAGGTATTGCAGAAACCTTGAAAGGGTATGAATTAAAAGTCCAGCAACTGGAAAAAGACTTATTTTTCTATAAGAAAACCAGCAGAGAGCTGAAGAAGAAATTGAAGGGCCTCTTTGGAGAGTCATCCCATCAATTATTGGCATCCACTAAATGTAAGTATACGATCTTAAAATATTTATGCAATGGTCAATAGACCATTTGAAGGGTGGTGAACACAAAGAAGTATATCAGATAGACATAAAAATCATATTTTTACTGAACTCCAGGAATGTATTACATCTCTCCCCCAGTTTCAAAGGAGAGACAACATTGGTTTGTAGCTGTAGCAGTGGTATACCAGCGGTTTAAATTCTTGTTCTGTTTTCTCTGGATTCTAACATAATTTCAGCATCCACAACCTCAAACTGTTGTGGTAAAGAAAAAGGAATTTTACTATCTGAAAGGGCCTGAATGAAGTTGTAACTAACAGCTTTGTCATATGCCATGCTTTTAGGTAGGCTGCTCCCAGCACTTGATTTCATGAAAGTTAGTTACTGGGAGATGGTGAGTGAACAATTCCATACTTTCAGTTACTAACTTACTTTAGTTAGTTACTTACTAAGGCTAAAAGAGAGGATTTATACATTTGTAGGAAAAAAAAAAAGAGCTTTCTAATGTGATTCTGTGCTTTGACACAAAAAAACCAAAAAACCAAAAAGCAAACCAACAATCAACTGCTACTATAAGTTTTTAATTGTTCCATCTCCTACTTGCCAGAATCCAAACCTACAACAGAGCTAGGATTGGAGGAGTGGAGGAGAAAAGAAGGTTCAATTTCTGTCACTATTTTGCTTGTCTCACCTCTCGATGCCACCACCAATACCTCACATGCACAATACAGCCTTCTTGGCCCTGTGTTTCTTCTTAAGGCTCAGCCCGACTGGTTCTTCCTCCCAACGGATGCTTCTGTTTCTTTCCACTCAGGCAGTGCCGTGCCTTCCTAACACATAGATACTGATCACATACCTGCTGCTCCCACAGTGAATTAAGGCTCAGCCCTTGCCCTCTAGGCAGGATAATGAGCCAACACACTCATTACTATAAAGTACAAACTGCTGTCAAACTGTGAACATGAATATTCTAGGCGTTGGATAAATGAGCGTGGGAAAAACTATGCTGTGTCTACTATACAAATAAGCATGTAGTTAAGGACATGTAGCCATGTGGGGAAACATCCATCCTAGCAAAATTGTAGCAAGGAGAAGAAGGGAGAAGATCCCTGTGAATTTCCGACTTTTTCAAATACATATGTTCGTAAGTTTTATAAGAAATACTCTGTATTTAGTTATTTTTCTTCTGAATACATTTTGAGGCATGCTGCAATACAATGTAATAAAAAAACTTTATGATTTGTTGCTAAGCTTTAAAAATATTAAAAGCCCTGCGTGTACATTACAATCAAATTTGCAGAATGTGTTTTGTGTGTTGTCCTAGTGTAATTGCTGACTGTTTTTGAATATATGAATAATTTCATATTTGACTGTCATGGTTCAGTTGTTTTAAGACTGCCTGCTGGGATACACTACAAGTTAGAATGGTGAGGCTTGTATTACCAGCACCTAGTCAGAGGAAAGTAACAGCTAACACCTCTGATGTTTTTGTAGATGACAAACGTTTTTAACAGAACGGACAAAATGTGAGGTGCTGGTAATTTTTTACCACATTCACACTACAAGTTACTGATGCTTGATATTGATAAAACCTTATTGACTAACTGAGATTTCTTGATGGCAGGCACTCAGAAGAGTTGTAACTTTTAGCTATTTATCTCCTGATAAATTTCATTTTAGATAACAGTGCCAGTGACAAGGCATCCAGTCAAGATGAAGCAGAAGTTGCTTCTGAAGAATTCAAGTCGATACTTAACTCGGAAACTAATAGTCGACCAGGGAAAATAAAAGAAACAGACAGAACAAGTACTTTAAGAGCACAGCAGAATTCATACAAGCTTGGAGAAGATGTTTCAGAATTTGGGTGCAATAAAGAATGTTTTTCAAGCCCTAGTGATGACAAAACAGGAACAGATGAAGCTCAGCCTTCAAAATCTCATCCTCAGTTACCTTCTGTCATCCAGAGAAGAGAAACCGTAACACAGTTTCAAGGAGTAACTCCAGTAAAACTATCTCGCCGAGAGCTACGTCGTATTCCTCCCTCTGAATTATCTTTGAGACGCTCAAGCCTTGGAGCTGGTGTCAGTCTTATTGCTCCAGATTCCATTGAAATGGACAAAAAGTCTAGTGTCACTAAGATATAGTTACTCTTCATTGCATTTTTAATAACTGTTGCTACTGAAGCAACTGTATTAGATTTCTTTGTTCATGCTCTTTTTAAGTATCAACCATGGGTAAATGAGTAAGTGTTCTTTAGTTCATATTGCTCACTATCAAGTCATTAGGTGTTACACTCACACAGTTTCAGTGAATCTGAGATGGATTTTACTTAACACAGTATCTAAGAACTTTCATTTGAAGGCCTTTTAACATTGAATAAATAATTTATTTGGGGGTTTTTGCAGTAACTTCAAAAAATATAAACCTTTTTCAAAAATTGCACTGTGGAGTGCACTGCACTTGCGTAATTTAGGTTTCCTAGAACAATATTGTACTTCACTTTCTTGGGTCAGAAAAAATAACGAACTATTTAATTTATGTGGATATATAGGTAGAAAATTTAGTTGCCAGACTGTCACCTAGTATTGATGACTGGCTTCTGTACATTTTTTATCTAAAGACATTTTATATGAGCCATGTTTGAGATCAAAATCAGTACCTAAAGATAAATTTGTTCCTGAAAAGGAACATAAAAATATTTACTTTTCTTATTTTCTTCTTTATGGCTTATTTACGAAATTAAGAGAATTGCTTATTTAACTTTCTGGTTTTATTTGTTGGGCTTTTAAAGAATTGCACTTGGCAACTCAAAGTGGGATACTTACTTCTGTACTACTAAAATGGAAAAAACCCAGAGGACCAAATTCAGCATCCCTACGTAAGCCAGATGGACCAATGTATTATTTTATTTGTACTAATTAGTCATGTCCTTTCACAGACAATTTATTCTGGATTCCATATCTGCTTCAGAGCAAGGACTACGCATATCCTTCGGTTTACTGCTATACTGTTGTTGGTAATGCATTCGGGATGAAAAGCCAACCTTTTTTGTAAGAGGACAGTGGTCACTGAGAAGCATACGCTTAACAGCTGCACAAACTTGAAGGCAGAGACCAGAATATCCGCATTTAAATGATATCAACACTTGTAACCGTAACTCACTTCTACGTAAAAGTGGCAGTACTGAAAGTAAAGTTAGTTTTATTTTAGTGGTGGACTTCAGCTAATGTTGTCTTAGATTATTAGATGTACTTAGGAAAGGAATTTTTGCTTTCTGCCACTGTTTAGGCAAGGTCTTGTGTGTAGCATGTGTGGCTATAACAGAACTGCATTTTTCCACGCTACAAGCACAGTTCAAATCTGTGCACATT